ATTTAACTTAACGTAATAAAAGAATAACATAATAGGTGGCAGAAAAAGTCGTGGAGCTCTCATTAATGACATATAATTTGATTTTTACTAATGAACAATAATAAATGAAAGATCATAGCAAAAAAATGTTTTTGTCATTCACTTATTTTTATTTTCCTACACGGCCCCAAATTCTTGAGTACCCAATGCCCCCCGTATGGCCTAAGACGGTGTTGATCATATATACTTCAAAATGTAAATGATAAATGGACTACCTTGCGGCCTAACATTTTGGCAGAAGTGTAGCTGATGTATTGCTGTTTTGCGAAAATGTGATGAAGTTACCAATGTTCGAAGAAGTTACTCCAACAGATGATTTCTTGAAATTAATTAATTCATTCACACTTTTATTATAATAATAGGTAATCTTCTTTAGTTGAATGTTTGATGATAAATTTTAATGCTTCTTCAATGAACATTAATGAAAAATTATCGATATTGATCAGCACATCACAGTCACATCACACAGTGGTGGTCGCGTGGATTACAATAGGAAACCACTGTAAATAATCTCAAATTTAGATATTTCTAGAACCAAATAATTAGAAAAAAGCATGCGTACAGCTCACACGCCACAGAAGTGAAACCTTCGAAAGAAATGAAATATAAAATACAAATGCTTTAAATGATTTATTTAATATTTTAATTTAAACTACAAGTTCGGCATAAAATATAAGAAAATATAATTTTATAGCTAATAAATGAAACAATCCTTTTATATATATATATATAAAAAAAAAAAAAAAAAAATATATATATATATATATATATATATATATATATATATATATATATATATATATATATATATATATATATTAGACACAGATATTACATTACTCTTTTCGATATGCCTTATATAGTACTCACTAATTACAAAAAGATTTATATCAATTTTACTTATTACGAAGTTGAGGTTTGGCAGTTCTTCACTGCTTGTTTAATCCATAGGCACACGACACCTTCGTACCACAGTTCGTACCTTATTGAACAAAACGCGTAAGTGACGCCGTTTCGGCGGGGTTTACGATTTTTAGCTATAATCTAAAATGCTTCATATCTCATTTCCACCCAAGTTAAATCTTATGAATTTATGTGTCTGTCTCTTTTTACTGTCGCTTTTTCGTTTCATCAAGTTCCAAATCACAACGATGCTATAGAAGTTTTCACTTCTAAAAAATATGTAAATTGATCACAACGATGCTAAAGAAGTTTTCACTTCTAAAAATAAGTAAACTGATTTGTGATCTAACTTAGAAATTAATGTGATATTTTCATATTTTAATATGTAAAACTTTTTTGTTTTATAGGATAGGGGGACAAATGAATAGACAGTCCACCTGATGGTAAGTGGTTGCTGTGGCCCATAGACATCTACATCTATCCTCGATTACGAATCAAAATGCAGGTGCGTTGTCACCCGTGAGGACTAAGATGGAATAACTCGTTTCCAGTGTATAAGGTCTCCGAATCTCTACCGTCACCTTACGAAACATAGTAGCATGAAGCTACTATTTTACGCTGGTATTCTGTGAGAGCGTGTTCCTACCCCGGTCGAGCTGACCCATTCGTGCTACAACTATACTACTATAATAAGGTTATTTCTACAGTACCTATAAATAAAAGACGTATAAATGGTTTTAGTTTATTAAATATGATTAAACATTGACTAAATGTTACCCTGTTTTATATTTAAAATAAAATAAAAATACATTTTAGTTGATATTTTAAAGCTTTCTTCTAATTTTAAATTGGACTACATACGTAATCCGCGTGACCATTTATCTTGTTTTATAAGGCGTGACCACTGCAAGGTAAAGTAGTCTCGTTACACTTTTATTGTTTATATGTTGCAAATGTAAACTAGTCTCGTAAGAAGTGCGGTTGTGCTTGCGTGTTTAATTTTAAACCTAATGTGTAACAACTGAGGGTTGACTTTAAAAAATAAACGTATAACTAGTCCCGTGGGTAGTGTGCTTGTCACATTTCAATTATCAGTAAGATTTTCATGAAATATTATGTATTGGATTATCTTATCGGTATAGTTCTCGATTATTATTTATGTAGAAAGAAAGCATAATATGTCACAATAAAAATACTTACATATGAAATGAAACTCCACTTATTTTGCAAATTTGAAGTATTAGACTTCTTTTTACATACGTTGAGAGCATAGCTTGGCATTTTTCAAAGAGCACTTACAACGACGGAAACGATTCTTGTAGTGACAAAATCGATTCCGTAAACAGTTTTTATAAACGCACAAGATTTTTAAATCTAATACCTGCGCAGAGGGGAATAATCATGCGAGACGAATCCATTGGGTTGAATGGTCTAAGGTAGGAACGTTGAAAAAAGTGGTGACGTGAACCTCAAGATAATGTGTCTGCTTAAGCGCCTTGAGATACTCTCGCCGTTCACCGTCTGTTGGTTCAAACTGTCGTCAATATCGCCCAAATACTTCGTAGTTCGCATTCGGTTTGCATCAATATATTGTGAAGACGTTTTTAAACAAAAAATCGATAAAAACAAAGATGTAAAATGAAAGAAGCAATGCAGACATGGCTTAAATAACAAGTATCCAAGCCAAAATTCTTAAAAAATAAAATAAAGTAAGGTTCTGGCCACAAACTAATAAGAGTACTAACGGTTCTGGCGTAGACAGAGAAACCTATAGACTAATGATTAGCGTAGCCTCGAGTGAGAAATGACGATAACGTAGTTTTAGGTTATACAATAATCTTTATGACTTTTAAACATATTTAGATAAAAATTTTAATAGTTCTAAGAACTGAATTGAACAGGATTCACCAATCTGAAGCTCACAAATCAGACCGCTCTGTCTCATTTCTATGCAACACGTATGCATAAATCAGTGGCGTAGCTATCTTGGGTGGCATCCGGGGTGGAAGTTGGTGGTGTCACCCCATCGAAAGTAAAAAGCAACAAATTTTATATGGTAAAGGACACGGATCATTTATTATTTATAATATTGAAGAAATAACAAAATACAATAATAACTAAGACAGAAAAGGAATTGTTACATATACAATTAAAATTTCTTCTTTCTAGCTTTGACTTTTTTATTATCTATCACTATAGAATATAATACACGTTTACTATATAGTACCATGATTATATATATATATATATATATATATATATATATATATATATAATACATATATATGGATGATAACAACCCCTGGAAAGCGTGATCGCTACCAAGCTATTTCTAATTTGTCTTATGTTGTTTATTGTAAACATAATTGTAAGCTATTATTGGAAAAAAAAATAGTCCCGCTGGGTTTCTTGCTGGTTCTTCCCAGGACAGAGGTTTTTTTTGCGACCCAGTGGTAAATGAAAAAAGTGACTTTCAATAACTATTGTTATAATCTACATTGAATAAAAGTTTCTGTTTCTATAGAATATAAAATACACTATAGAATATAATATACGTTATATATAAATACATGTTTAACAATTCACGCCAACCACACACAACATGCTTCCTTCACGAAACTAATGAGAAATATTGCAACTGAGACGTCAAAGATCGCGAGTATGGGACGGGGAATCACCACGACAGCGTCAGGCTCTTTTGCGGGAATCTCCGAATTATACATAGAGCTGAGCTGGTGCTAGTGGAGGAATCCCCGAAAAAGAAATTTTTGTGCTAGCGATTTCTTTGTTTGTATATTGTTCTTAAAGTTGACGCCCCCCCCCCCCTTTGCTACGCCACTGGCATAAATCTATCTTTTACGTGCGCGAATGCGAAAGAAGGCGTCAATTTGTATATAGGTTTCTCTGTCTACGTCTGTGTTGTATACCACAAATTACAAAGTTGTATGTTGACCATATCATATCTCTATTCTCTAGCTTAATTTGTGTTTTCTACGTAGACAGAGAAACCTATAGACTAATGATCGGCGTGGCCTCGAGTGAGAATGGACGATAACGAATTTTTAGGTTATACAATAATCTTTATGACTTTTAAACACATTTAGATAAAAAAATTTAATTGTTCTAAGAACTGAACTGAACAAGATTCACCAATCTTAGGCTCACAAAACACTTTTTTCTCACTTAAACCAACTTGTAAACTCCTTAAATTGCTACGCTTTCAAAGTTGTTTAGCAAACGGTAGAGTTTGCTAAACAAAAAAACCGGCACGGTGAAAGGGACAAACAATTACACCGCTACTAGCACTATCTCATTTCTATGCAAGACGTTTGCATAAATCTATCTTTTTCGTGTGCGAATGCGAAAGAAGGCGTCAATTTGTCTATAGGTTTCTCTGTCTACGTGTTCTAGTAACACAGAGTTTTGGCTGTTGGCAGGAACTTGGCCGACGACAGACTGCCGTTCCTGTTTTGTCCCTTGAATAATGTATATGTGGTAAAAGTAATGTGAATTTGTGAATTAAGTGTCTGCGCGTGTGAACTATTAGAAAAAACAACGAAACAAGTACTTTGATGTTGATATAAACCTTAAGTTAATTTGATCGCTTGGGCGCCTTATGAATCTCACACATCACATCGTCTGCTGGGTTGAGCCGTCGTCAAAAACTCCCAAAAACTTCGCAATGTGACGCATCAGCATATTGTAAAGGAAAAATATACAAAATGAAGATTCTGAAAAAAATTAAAGGCTCAGAAGGGCTAGTACCCAGAGCCGAAAAGCCAGATAAATAAAAAAATCTACTAACAGTAATACACAGTAATCTACTAATATGCGTAGTATCCTCTTAGTAGTCTGTGCTACTAATCTATATTGTATATGTATTCGTATGTACATATTTATTGCAGTTTGTTTTTTTATAATGAAAATTGTAAAAAATGTGTTTATACAACCCCTACCTTTAATAAATATTGAAAATTAATTACCTACCATTGTTCATGTAGGTAGAAACCTAATCAATCAATCTATAATAAAAAAGATATACCTATATTATATTATAGAAGACGTTACGATTAAAAATGCATAGAAACCTACCGCAAAACAAAGAAGCCCTTTTAAAGTCTTACACAACACGACTGAAGGAAGATGTTAAAAGCATGCTTGAAAATTTTGAAGGTAAGGAAATTTACTTAGACGGTGGACAAAATTTTCCTCGTGACAGATGTTATTTTTGTTAGTCTAGTCCTAAAATATTAGGGCAATACGGACTGACGCACTTGCTGTAAATGTCGCAATATGTGAGCAACCTGGGTTCGAATACTATCAGCACAAATAAATAGTTTAAAAAAAATTCAGACTTGAAGCAGACTGGAGCACCATGTTGAATTCTTTTCTTCTATTATAAAATAAATTACTAAGGCGCACTTAGGTTAAGGGCTGAGGCTTTGGCATATTAAAGATATATGTTATATTGAAAGAATTTACTAGATTTATTGTGATTTATTTAAATAATAAAAAAGAATTTGCCAACCAGCCGAAGAAGGCTCGCATCTATGGCAAAATAATAGGGGATTTTTCATGGGAAAGACCAATGGCAGTTGACTTTTAAGTGGTTATAATGATGAAAAACTTTGTTAAAGCCTGATCTGGAGTTCTGCTTTGTTTAATAAATATTCTATTTATATTGATATACCATAAGAAGTTACGAGTTTGCATGTGTAGGCAATATTATTCGTTTGTAAACTTTCCTTAGTGTGCTGGGGAGAATAATATGTCTGTAGCTAGAGGCTAAGTTGCGTTGTTTCCCTGATTTCGGGATTCCTATGATGTCCGCTACTTTCCATGTATCCAGGAAGAAGCAGCTGGAGAAAAGAGCATTGATAATGCCTACAAGGAGGCAGACAAGTGGTGCTGAAAGTGGTTTCAGCACCCTGTTGCTCATGCCGTCAAGGCAGTCAAACTAATTAGGACAGACAAAAATAGTTAAAAGTATTTCTGCCTAAGAAAGTATGGACTAAAGTAGGTTTGACTGAAAAATATATAATTTTAAAAAATGGGTAATGAATTGTCAAATATTTAGTTATAAATTTTAACTTATTCATTGGAGCTGATAATCAGATGTTATTTCTACAATACCTATAGCTAATTATTTATAAGAATTGATGTGATTTCCTATTCTTTTATTACTAACAGCAGTTAATCTTTTAAGACTCATCTTCTAACTATTTTATATTCTATTTATATGAAACCTACTGCAACCTGCAATTTACACTTTCTTGTATTATCAATTTTTCTTTTTTATGCAGAGTTTGTGTATCCCAAATAAACCTTTTCGCATGTAACATATCATTGGCGAATTCATCGCAATCGCCATAAGAAAGAAGAAGAATCAGTAATTTCGACATCAGTCTTTGCTATCATTGCTGGGTGGATATTTTACTGAAATGATTAATTAATATTTGAACTAATAGAAGTCTCCAAACAACAGTTTCATTACAAAAGCTCATGCAAAAGGCATTAATTGAGTACTTTCTAATAATACTCATGTGACTAATAATTCATAAAATTTAACAATTTATTAACACAAAAAGTTTAAAGGCCTAAAAAAGTTCCAAAATGTACTTATCAAATGAGAACAATGAAATAAAATCTACATGAATCACCAATTTCATTTTTAAATATGTCTTATAATTTGGATCTATCTATTTCGGATCTTTGGTAGGAAACTCTTTAGTTAAACATACAAAATATCAAAATAAACTCTTCTTTTTTCATCAACACAATATAAACCATAAATATAACTATAACATTTTTTTATAGAATAAGATGAGAAACCAGCACATCCACCTGTTGGTAATTGGATGATGTGACTGATTCCTTGTTTCCTATAAAATAAGTTTTCAGCTCTCTACACAATCACCATACAAAACAGCAGCATTAAACTTCTATTCCATGCTGGTATTTTGTGAGAGTATGGTCTTTAAGTGGGGAACATTTATTGGGGAGCATTCATGCTGCAACCATAATATTTGTATATTCCACTTTTTTTTATAGGAGAGGGGCAATGAGCATACGGCTCACCTGATGGTAAGTGATTACTGCGGCCCATGAACAGCTGCAACACCAGGGGAATTGCAGATGCATTGCTGACCTTTTGAAAAGAAATAGGCTCTTTTCTTGAAGGTCTCTAAGTCATATTAATCCGGAAAAATCTCTGGTGGTAGTTGATTCCACAAGGAAGTTGTGCGAGGAAGAAAACTTCTTTTAATTAGCTTAGTGGTGGACCGCCAGTCAACCAGATAGTATGGATGGTATCGCGAGTTTTGTCGCAATGTGTGATGGTGAAACTGTGCGGCTGGAATTGGTCCGAAGAATTCCTTAGAGCACTCCCCGTGGTAGATGCGATAAAATACACAAAGAGATGCAGCATCTCTTTGCAGTGCCAGTGATTCAAACCGATCGAAAAGAGCTCGGTCTCCGAAAATTCGAACTGCTCTGCGCTGGATGCGATCAAATGGAAGGAGCTGGCACTGGGGAGCTCCGGCCCAGAGATGGGAACAGTATTCCATGTGCGGCCGAACCTGCGCCTTGTAAAGTTGCAGGCGGTGAGCCAGCATGAAATACTGTCCCGCTCTGCTGAGCACGCCAAGCTAGAGGCTAGTTTGGCCTTCTCTTCCAAGTGACCACGAAACTGCACGTCACTCGATATGTCGACGCCGAATACGCAGCACAAGAAAAAAAAGAGGGAAAAGAAAAAAAAAAAAACCAAAAGAAAAAAACAAGGAGGTGATGGCGATAGGCCGATATTTGGACGGATCGGAGCGGTTACCTTTTTTAGGGATCGGGTGCACGAACGCTGTCTTCCATGATTTCGGGACTACGCCTAGGGAGTAGGAGTACCGGAAAAGACGCGTTAAGGCCGGTGCCAACTCCGGAGCACACGTCTTCAGCACAATAGGAGGGACGCCATCAGGCCCACTCTACTTGATATCCAGGGAGAAGAGTGCTCTGCCCACCCAGCGTTGGGTAAACAGCACATCCTGCATGGAGCACTCACACTGCGGGATGGTCGGCGGTGTGTGTCCCCGTCATCAAGAGTCGACTTGGACGCAAAAAGAGTTGTATTAAATGTAGAAGTTGTGTGAATTCTCTTTGCCCTGACGCTCACCTAACACTCACATCATCACTTTATTGTAATTATATTATATTATATGAAATTATATTTGCTGTGTAACAATATATTTCCGGATTTGTAGAAGCAATTCATCGCCGGCAGTTTTCTATTTTCTTTCTAGTTCTTAGAGTTAACTCATTGCAAAATAAAAGTTGATTTGAAAGAATAAATTAAATATATAATTAAAAAATCGAAAACCCGACTGCATAAAAGACAACTTAAAAGTAATACACTTAAAGGACCGAAACAAGATTGAGAATAGAAAACAAAATTAAAATAAACTACAAACAAAGTAAACTCTACTTCGGTTTAACAGACTATATTGTGAGCTGAAAGCCTGTAGTGACGTGTAGTGACGGCTAAGAATATCCACTACCTCATATCATCCTGTGGGTGTCGTAAAAGGCGACAGAAAGAAACAGGCAGGAGATGGGCAGCAGCATCTTCCTGATAACAAAAACTCTACAGCAAAAAAACTGCGGTTGCCAACCTGCTTTTTTTTTGGCAACTATGCTAATATACCTCCCATGAGCACACAAATAGACGGCTACAATCCCCGGCGGCCCCGTTATTCTATTCTATGCTATTCTCTATTATTATTAATGGCGGGGCAGGGGGTGCTAAGAATCTCCGGTGGAGGTTCGGTTGCCATCTAAAACGAGTTGACCTGGCAACTTACAACGCATGCACCTTGAGGTCTGACGAGAAGATCCTGGAGCTGGAAGAAGAGATAGACAAGTTGCGCTGGAATATTATGGAATTATCCGAGGCCCGAAGAGAGGAGGAGGACACGCTGATTCTCGAATCCGGCAACTTGTTCTATCACCGTGAGGGCGAACATCTGTCCCAAGGAGGTGTTGGATTTATCGTCCACGAGCATCTCGTTAACAACGTTGTAAAGATTGGAAGTGTGTCGACGAGGATTTCGTACCTTATACTCAGAATCACCAAACGGTAGTCGCTGATGGTCATACAGGTTTACGCATCATTGTCGGCACTTCCTAGTGAGTAGGTGGAGGAAATGTATGAGGATATTTCTAGAGGCATGCATTCCTCCAAAACTAAATAATAAATTCCAAAAATAAAAAATACGGCGTTAAAGGGAGACTTCTACGCAAATCTAGGCACAAGAAAGAACGGTGAGCTTCATGGAGAAAAAGGGACTCTTTATGATGTACCCATTCTTCCAAAAGCGGCCCCACAGAAAGTGGACCAGTTCGAGCCCCGACGGTTCGACAAAAATAAGATTGAATTCATTATGACGACAAAAACTGGCAGCGATCACCGAAATTAGAGCGTTAGAGGCATACTGAACCTAAACGTTAAGTTGGAGAGGTCTCGTCTAAAGAAAGTCAACGCTCCGTCCCCCTCGTGCTCTAATCCAAAGTTCCGAAGCCTTTCAACTCGATTTACAAAACCGTTTTCCGTGCCTAGAAGATTGCAATATAGCGGACGATATGAATGACAAGCTCGTGGAAACTGCCCATGCGGTCGGAGCTAAGTAATACAAGACCCGCGCAGTAGGACACAAAAACTCTCCAATCACACTCTTAAATCTCGTGGCTGTTAGACGGGAAATGAAGCTGCATTCTTCAACAGATTTGACAGCATACAGGCAACTGAACAGACAGATCTCCAAATACATGCGGCGGGACTTGCGCAACTTCAATACTGCTCGTATTGAAGAAGCGATCGCGCGGAACCAGGGCTCCAGTCTTTTCAAGAGATCTGTCTGCCAGGAAGAGCCAACTGTCAAATCTGAAGACCGAGTGTAGCAGCATCGTTTCCGGGACACCTGAGATTTTGAGTGAGATTAAGACGTTCTATGGGCAGCTGTACACGTCATCGTTGGAGCCACACGCAAGTGTGAGTAACGATCCAAGAGCAAGTCTAATCCGACACTATTTCGGTGATATGCCGGACGTCAGTCTGAGCGAGATTAGAATGGCTCTCCAGCACCTTAAAAACGGCAAGGCCCCAGGCGAGGATGGAATTGCAGTGGAGCTTCTGAAAGCGGGTGGAACATCGGTACTTAAAGTCCTTCAGAAGCTCTTCAATTCCGTCCTTCATGGTGGCACTTAGGAAACGTAGAGCAGAAGTGCGGTTGTCTTGTTCTTAAAGAAAGGCGACAACGCTCTCTTGAAGAACTGCAGACCGATTTCTCTTCGGAGCCGCGTCTACATGCTGTTTTCGAGAGTCATTACGAATCGTCTCGCACGCAGACTCGACGACTTCCACCCTCCCGAACAAGCCGGTTTCCAAAAAGGCTTCGGTACCATAGACCTCATATATACCCTGCGGCAAATTGTACAGAAGACCTAAGAGTACAACCTGCCACTTTGCCTGGCGTATGTGGACTATGAGAGTCTTTGATTCCGACTAAATTAGGGCGGTGCTACAGACCCTTCAGCGGTGCCAAGTTGACTGTCGGTATATCGAAGTGCTGAAGTTTTTGTACAGTAGGGTTACGATGGCTATCCGAGTACAGAACCAGAGTACGAAACCTATCCAATTGCAGAGAGTGTAAGACAGGGTGACATTATATTCCCGAAACTCTTCACCGCTGCATTGGAAGACGTTTTCATGCTACTGGACTGGAAAGGATACGGTATTAATATAATGGCGAGTACATCACTCACCTTCGATTTGCCGACGATATAGTCCTTATGGCAGAATCGCTGGAGGACATAAGCACTATGCTCAATGACCTCAAAAGTGTCTTCCAACGGATAGGTCTTAAGGTGAACATGGACAAAACACAGATCATGTTTAATGTCCATGTCACACCTACGCCGGTAGTTATTGGAAGCACTAAGCTCGAAGTTGTTGACGAAGTACATTTACCTGGGATAAATAGTCCGACTAGGTAAGTCCAACTTCGACCGAGAGGTCAATCGACGGATTCAACTCGGTTGGGCAGCGTTCGGAAAATAATGACACATCTTCTCGTCAAGTATACCTCAAAACATTAAAAAATAGTTTGTACAACCAGTGCGCGTTGCCAGTGATGACTTACGGATCTGAGACGTGGTCTTTCACTGCTGGCCGTATGAAGACGCTCAAGGTCGCTCAGCGAGCTATGGAGAGGGTTATGCTCTGAGTTTCTCTGCGTGATAAACTTAGAAATAAGGATAACGGATTAATTAGCTGAAGTGGCAATGGGCCGGCCATATAGCTCGAAGAACCGACAGCCGATAGGGAAGAAAGTTTCTCGAGTAGCAGCTCGTACCGGTGGGCGTAGTGTAGGGCGACTCCCCACTAGATGGAGTGACGACCTGGTAAGACATGCAGGAAGCAGGTGGCTCAAGACCGTGCTTTATGGAATTCCTTGGGGGAGGCTTATGTTCAGCAGCAGACTTGAAGGTCTGTAATGATGACGATGATGATGATTTGGCGACGGATATTTATACCTATAGTATGTGAGGGTAATATGGTCATCGACATAACTCAAAAACTATAGCCTTGTTTGCATAGATGGCTTTGTGGTACGATCTCTCAGCTCTTCACCGGTCAATCAAATAATAAAGGGTCATAGTGAGTCTATTCGAGGACCCGAAGGGAGTTAGATTGTAGATCTTATTACTTATGAATGAGGAATTTTTGACTCGGTTTTATTTTCATTATTGGTAATCATTATGCATTCAGAAAACGTTTTTTTAATGTATAATTTATGTATTAATGTTCCGTTTCTGTGTTCTTTATACAATCTTAAATAATCACTACGGGGCCGTGTAGTGTCGGCAATTCTATTAGAGAGAGTTCACTTCCCCATTATCGCCCCGTGAGTGTCATAAGATGATGAAAAAGGAAAATGAGACAGGAAATGGACAGCAGCATATTCCTGTTGCTACAACTAAAGATAATAAGAACTGCAGTTACCAACCCATTTGACAAGCTAGGCAATTATTGCAAATATCTCGCATCTGAAGAGTTTGAGAGTGGCGTATACTCAGCCGTGGACCTTTGATAGGCTGAATTGAAGTAATGAATTTCATAAGATCGCCTAAGATAATTCAATCTCTCACCGAATATAGCATCAAAGTCGATTCAATATACTTTTCGGACCATAATTTTTTTTTTATATATTTGTTACAGAAATCATTAAACTTGCAAAGGGCGAAAATGATTCTCAGCTAAATAGGATGACGCAAATTGAGCAAGACACATTTGAGATGCAAGTTAGAGCAGCTAATATTGGTAACTTAGTTTTATTGTACATTTTAATTACCTATATACTTTACAATAATTCATTGAAAACTTTTAATTTTATTTTCAGTAAGAGCAGGCGAATCCCTAATGAAGTTAGTTTCAGACATTAAGCAGTATTTAATACTCAACGACTTCCCTTCAGTTAATGAAGCAATAACACAAAATTCAAAACTCTTCCGCACAAAACAGCAAGAATGTGACCAAAAACTAATGTCGCTCAGAGACGATATAGCGGCTGATTTATATGATTTAGAGGATGAATATTTTACCAGTATTTATAAATAGATTACAAAGTTTATGGTTTTATTTAAAACACAATGCTTTTTTGTATAATTTATTTTAGTGAAAATTAAATTAATGTTTTTTCAATGATTTCAAAACGAAGGATAGGCCCATCTAAATATTTTACTCATAACTTTTTCATACAAGAAAAAGTAGCGCATCTGTCATAATACAAACGTCATATCATAACACAACGTAACCAGGGTCGAATTTCGTTGTATAATTATCTTAATTGTACCATTATTTCAAAGTTTGTAGTATATAGTATCGTATACTAAGCGAAAATACCATAATTTTACCTAAAGGACGACTTGTATTATTATTGGGTCATTTTACTTTTTAATATTAACCCTACGGTATCGAGAATTTCTGTATTGTAAATGAGTACCGCGTTTTTTTTAAATTAAAATTAGCTCCTTTTCTGGTCAATCTGTCGACGCATTTATGTTGAATCCTTGATAAAACTATAATGAGCGGCTACCACGATAAAAACTCTATGCTCCAGAAGCAATCGGTTTGAAAACAGGATTTCAAAACATTTTATGAATCAGATTTTCATATTCAGTTAAGCAGATATGGTTTCTTTTGTACTCTTTTCGTTTTACCCTTATTAAATATAAAATATATTAGATGCCAATATTCAAAATTTAACGTACAATAAGTTTTTTAGACAAAAACAAATAAGAAATAAAAATTAAACCGTATAGATGGCTTTGTGGTACGATCTCTCAGCTCTTCACCGGTCAATCAAATAATAAAGGGTCATAGTGAGTCTATTCGAGGACCCGAAGGGAGTTAGATTGTAGATCTTATTACTTATGAATGAGGAATTTTTGACTCGGTTTTATTTTCATTATTGGTAATCATTATGCATTCAACTCAAACTAGACGCGTGACGCCAAAATCCCGGCACATGGGGAAAAAAGAAAGATGAAACGTCAAACGTGGTATAATTTTTCAAAAATAGTATAATTTTATTTTCCATGTGCAATATTTTGAGGGTCTGAATCCAACCCTAGCCTAATGTTGGTAACGTAACTAAACTAACTGTAAAATAAAACTTTAAAAATGCGTTTATATAATAATTTAATTGTAACAAAATTAATATAAGGTTATTAATCGATTATACGATATCCCACGTTCCTTTTTAATCTTTGTATCGTAATTTTTGCATCCTTATTACCACGCAACTAGACATTTATGACAGGCAAATCTGTCCTGCGCGCGCACCAATCGACCGATTCGCGTTGGCCCCAAACTGTAATTTTAGGGCCAGCACACTGGTCTGTTTTAGTTGTTCGGTCGGCCCGGTCCTTACGCTAGTAATATATGTCAATGGTTTTTTATTATTACTTATTTTAGTCTAGAAAGGAATACATGGAAAATTAAAGTTTTTCGTTTTGGTGGAAGACATGAAATTTAAAAACAAGCAAACTTTGCTCTTATGCAAGTCATAAAATTCTACCACAAATTATGCCACAAAATGTATTTACAGAAAGCGGCAAAATGAACCTGCCCGGCGGTACGATTACGATAAAATCCTTCCAATTTGAGTTTGTACTTGAAGTTTAAGATCAAATTCGTTTCTGGACCCTAAAGCGTCCTCCTGGGATACCTACAGATAAGCTAAAGTAGAATGTGGAAACTTTTCCTAAAAATATTAAGACAATTGAAGGTCTAGAGCTCTAAGAGTTACCGACGGAGAGACCGTAGGAATCCGTGCAGCCTTCGAGCAGTTGCCCCGTCGAAACCAAAAAGAAAAGTCCCTTGGTGGAACTCTTAAGCTGAACAAGCTCAGGGAAAAGACAAGGAAACTTCAGTTGAAAAAAGATGATGCGAACAATTTTTATGTAGCCAGCTCTCGGTCAATTTGTTTTTTAGGTAATCTAACTTGATGTGTTCCTTTTTACCGCACTCGTAGCATATCGGACCATTACAAAACTTCCTTTCTTCCGTTAACAGTTTCCTTGGTAAGATTTCGCGTACAGTTCTCACCTCTAATGCATGTGCAAGTGCGCTCTTTAGAGATTGCTTGTGGCCTAATCAAGTTGCTCGCACCTCGACGTCCCAGTTGCCAGCCTCAAACGGTCGTCAAGGTATGTGCACTTTGTGTTCACGACGTGCATTGCATTAGGTCGTGATGGAGATAGAGGACGTATAAGAAGATGAGTCTTGTTCTGGAGGATCCTTCTTGAGATAAAGGAGGGGTAGGAGTAGCCTCCATGAGGAGAAGCCGCACAGAGCGGCTAGAGATTTGGGCGAAATCGTTTACTTTAAAAAAAAAAAACAATATAAAATATTTCATAATTTATTTATTGTGTATTATATCTACTTTTTAACAATCAAAACAATTCTATCAATCTGCTAGTTATTATTTCCTTTAAGATCATTTTTCTGTTGCTCATAAATAGCAGCAGGTATCATAACAGGGATATAAAATTGTAAATTTCATTCTACTTTGCACAAAACAGATAATGGGGCCCCTCTTGTGGATATTGCTTAGCTGTAACTGGTCTTCCGAATTTGTAGTCTTCCAAAAAAAGGTAAAGAGCAAATGATCCTCCTACAACACCCAGGAACCACATCCATTGATACCAAAGAGGAAACCTTGGTCTCATACTAATATCATATCTATCTTCCCCAAAGATTTCTTGCCTGGCATTCATCTGCAAAATAAGGAAATGAATAGATTTTCATCTAAATTAAATACTTAACTAAAAGAATATACTACACAACTAAATTGTAATAAATATGAATTGCCCAAAGGCATGTCAGTACCCACTTTAGGTTTTTTTGATTAATAACTCAAATACTTTGTAAAAGTTAAATATTATGGTGGTTTTTTTTCATATAAGGATGACAAACAAGCACTCAGTCCCACTGATGGTATGTGTTTACGCTGGTATTCTGTGAGAGTGTGGTTCTACCCCGGTCAAACTGACTCATTTGTGTTACAACAATGTACAGTGAAAATGTTTGTTGAAGTTTATTTATTTTTTTACTTATTATTGGGCAGAGCTTGATTATAATTCCACCTATTAGTAAGTGGCGATGAAGCTAAAGATGATAAATTGCATTGTCTTAGTTGTAGCAAAAGGCTATTCCCTCTTGCCTTTATGATAATTATTATTATATTTCACAAATTATAATTGGACAGAAAAACAGAGTCCAGCATATAAATTTCACTCCATTTTCATATACAATATGAACGACAAAGCAAACCGTTTGGTTCAAATTCTCAAGAAATACAACAAAGGAATGAAGGCCAATAAGGCTTAGCACGCACTGCCGCATACCATCACGCACTGCGGCTGGAGTTTTGCTTAATTTTATTTAGTTAGCTTAATTTTATATTCAGATTCCGAGCAAGTAGGGTGTGTTGTAGCTTTGGCTTTTAAATTAAAAAATAGAAAACGTAAACAACGGCGCTGCCATAAGTACGGGTACATCCACTAACAGATAAAACACATCTGAAAGGATACTTTTGCTACTAATTAGTATCGCAAAAAACGACTGTCTTCTGCGCTCGTCTAGTGGAAACCGAATGCGGTTAACCGCAGTGCGTGCGCCGCCCTACTATTACTATGGGACACATAAAAATAGCGCGTTTACAAACCGGGATCCGAAATACAACAAGTTACGTTTTTAAAATCAGTCATCGAAAAAAGTCGCTAATGCGTGCGCTTGTATAGAAAACCATAGGTTATAGGTACATTTTTTTTGCGGTTTCAGACGTGCGGTTAAATGCATGCGTTTAATCGGAGTGCGTGCTAAGCCTAAGAACTTCTATTAAATTATTGTTACGAGCTTAGGGTTCGTGACAATAAAAACTGCCGATTAAATTACCAAAATTAACACTTTAATTCACTTTCCACCAATTAAAACTTAAGACTCTAATAATTAATAACACTGATTCACTTTATTTCGCTTCAAAGCTTCGCTTGTGTCGCTAAATTCAATACTGCCCCGATCGCGGCTTTAAATACACCTTTTCCACCGAAACGTCCAGCAATGTTCCAGCAAATACCGGTCCCGACTGACTAAGTGCGGAAAGTTCGAGAGTGGACCCTTCTAGAAAACTTAATTCTTCTGTTCGATACTAGATGGCGCTGTTGGTGGAAAGTTCAAGATTGACATTTTCTAGGAAGCCCTCCTCACTCTGTTCCCCGACACTAGATGGCGCTAGTGCCAGGTACCAGACATCAACTTAGGCGCGCAACACTGCCCCCTCCTAAGACATGCTCGTCCCGAGCATTATCGGCCCCATAATAACGCGCCAGTCGATCCACATGCACGTTCTTAAGAGTACTTCTTGCGCCTTTCTGTATCCGGTAGGTTACATCGTAGATCCTGGTCACAATCCGGTACGGGCCATCCCATTTAGCTTGAAGCTTAGGAGATTTCACTTTGCTGCGGACTGGATTGTGCAACCACACTAGTGAACCTTCGTCGAACCCTTCGTTTCGCGGTCATACCGTGTTTTCATCTTTTCAAACATTTGCTGGCCCGATCGTCTGACGTGCTCAACATGTCATCCATTTTGTTCCGCAAGTCATTTGCATAATCGGTTATACTGCGTGGGGCATCAGGTGGTATCCCGGTGATAAGGTCTTCAGGCTGCCGTAATTCTCTTCCAATGTTTGAGAAAGCTGGTGTCACAGATGTACTTTCGTGAACAGCGCTTCAATACGACAACAAAAACGGTTGTATGTGCTTGTCCCAATCTCGTTGCTGATTGTCTACAACTTTTGCTAGGTACCTCTCCAATGTCTGATTGAATTGTTCTACCATTCCATCAGATTGCGGGTGATAAGAAGTCGTTCTTGTTTTATGAGTGGGTACTCACTAATAACTCGGCAAGTTTCCTGGAATATTTGAGACTCAAATTCCTTCCTTGATCGCTGTGAATCTCTAAAGGTACTCCAAAACGACAGAAGACTTCATGAACTAGTTTATCTGCAACTGTTGAAGCTTCTTCATTTGGAATGGCGAAGACTTCCGGC